AACCTCACTGAGCTCGAGCTGTTTTGCAAGGAAGAATGGGCAAGAATTTCAGTCTCTCGATGTGCAAAACTGATAGAGACATACCCCAAGCGACAAAGGTTGAAAAGTTCAAGGGGGCCGAATACTTTCGCAATGCACTGTATTTAAGACCAAGAACAAGTTTTTGACCCAAAGGGTTGTGGGAGTAAGCCATACAGCCATGGTGTTGAAGCCAGCCTTCAAGAAACCAGAAACTGCTGAATGAGATACTTCAACCAATTACAGGAGAGTCACGATTATCTGACCTTAACGGGACCAACAGTGTATCGGATAATTGAAAATGTCGGATAATGCCGAAACTGAGTAGACAAATCATAGATTAATGGAAGTGCAGTATAAGTATGAAATCTGGTTTATTAATCTTCTGTAAATCAGAGCTTTCTCTTGAAGTATCGGACCTGTGCTAGGCATTCCCTTATCCCTTTGCTGCGTAAACCACAAGAACAAAGCTTCACTGACTTTTTCATCTTCACATTTCTTCATCGTTTTTCTGTCCTTCAATTGAGGCCCGATCAGAGCACCACTTTTCTATCTCATTTCTTTTCCTCTTCCAGTCACCAGCTGTATCTCGTCCCACACCGAATTCCGATGCAAGTTTATGCATGGACACGCTTTTGTCTAGTCTAGTCTTTTTGACGCTTCAAGCTTTTGTTCCATTGAAAAAACTACATTCTTTCTCTTCGCACTTGTCATGTTTCTCAAATACTAAAATTATATATACACGAGCGCAAACGAACAAGCGAAGCTACGTCAATGGCAGTATTTGACGCACTGAGAGACAAAGCAGCATGGGATTGGGCAAAATATTATGCTTGTGCATGCATACAGTGCATAGCATATATGTATATACCATGTTGATTGCTATGTCGGATAATCAAAGGTTGGATAATCGAGACTGTACTGTACCTATCAACTATCAAAGGAGTTAGAGGGCTACTCTTGTTTGTGACTGTTCTTATGCTCATCTTACCAAACTGAGGTCATCATCATCAGGCTCATCTTTGACAACGATACCAGGGTAGGGAGAAGTACTCTTCTTCTGCTTAAAGGAATCCTTATTTTGAGACTGTGAAGATTTACAGGATGACGACCTAGGCAGATGAACAACAAAAATCAGCAAAAGCAACCAGCTTCTCTATTTATTCCTTTAGCTCCTGTCCAAAAGTCTATTCTTGTGTGCGCCCAACTTCATGTTCAGCTTCACTTCTGAGAAAGTCCAGATCAGCTGAAGAGAATCAAGGTCAAGAGAAGATCTTGAAAGAGAGGTAATAGTGAGCTAGTCAATCTTATTTAAGGTTATTGAATCAAGTGCTTCCTCTCCTGGAAGCACACAGCATAAGTATGTACAAATAACAAAAAGGATTAATTTGAAACATTAAAAAAAAAATTAATCCATCTGACAGTTCTTTAACTGTAATGGAGACGGCACACTACATTTGCCAATCGGCAAATACTTTTACTAATGGCACTACTTTTCAAATTAACCATGCCTTAATGGGTTTTACAAAAAAAAAATTCAACCTGCCCTCAACATACACCAGTTTAAAAAAAGCCAATTTTTAACTGACTGAGATAAACACAAAAGATAAGATCACTTTATTAGCCATATACAAATTCTTGCATTAGGAATTTGTCTTTTCGCATACCCCAACTTGCTCTCCATGAGACACACAGGCACACAGATGGGGAGAGAGAAGCTTGGGGTCAGAGCACAGGGTCAGCCATTTATACGGCGCCCCTGGAGCAGTTGGGGGTTAAGGACCTTGCTCAGGAGCCCAACGGAGTAGGATTCTTCTGCCGGTCACGGGATTTGAACCGGCAACCTGCTAGCCACAGAGCCACCACTCCATTTGCTCAGTTGTGATGAAGGTTACACTTGTGTACTCTATAGCATGCTTCTGCCACATGGCCTTTATCTTTTTATTATGAGTTTAAACAGCCAATTATAAAGCCAGAGCAACAAATGCATCTCTGTGACAAAACGGCCTGTTTGCAGGAACCTATCAAGCTGAGAATACCAGACTCAAGCCCACCCAGATCCAGTGAAGCCACTCTTCAGATACCACTCTGTGTGAGGGTGACAAGTTAGTTCATAGCACAGGCCAAACTCTAGCCAGCAGTATTCCAGTAGTATTTGTAGTAAAGCACTGAACCTGTGGTTAGTACAAGCACAATTGAGCTCCTTTGCTTTTTAAAGGAAGAATCAGAGTGTTGTATCTCACCATGCGCTGATCTCACTGGAAGTGGCAGATGAGGGCATCAAGAAATTCAGTCTTTGTTGGTCTGTGAAGAAGAGAAAATAAGTTTACTTTCATATTACTGGTTATAGTATAGCATTAAAATATGCTTTGCTTTATAAACGGTCAACTTCTTAGTGAATTTAGGAACACAAGAACCCTACATTCATGTATGCTGGTATTATGCCCACTTCAGAAACATGGATATGCTTGTACTTTGCGTATGCCTCCGATTCACAGGAGAAACTTGACCAGAGAATGTATACAGTACATATGGCATTTGTTATAACCATGCATTACATTAAAAAAAAGTCCCTTCATACTCACTGTCCTTACTTTTCAAACCAATTTAGCAAACAGATAAAGATCACACTTGGACATTAACTGGTCCAGTACTTTGTACAGTGCCCACCCGAGTATTCAGTCTTACCATTTTTATCTGTGGATGACATTGGTAAGCTTTGAGAAGTGATGGTTTTAGGAACTGTTATTGGGCCATTCCTTTCTTTCCTGTTGTCCAGATATACAGCTTCCATCCTATTTAACTGAGAACAGAACACAACACTGTCCTAAACATTTTTTTTTATATAATGCTTATAAACAACAAGTTTGTTTTCGAAAACGATCAGGTATTTCGAATAATTTCAGAAAGCCATGTCCGGTTCAGGTTGAAGGAGGAGAATGCAGTCATAAACCCTGACATACATTTGAAATAGAATAAGGGAATAAAAACTGAACACTAGCTCTCTCAACATAGGCCAGAATAGTACAATTCGTGTCTTGATATTTTAACTCGCTTTAGAACGAACATTTGAGAGAGATTTTTGGAGGGAAATGCAGGGTTTGTGAAACAAAAACTAGCCACATTAAGGAAGTAAATTCTATCCAAAAAGGACCTGTGTACTTTTAATTCAGATTTACCTTTACAATGAAAAGCTTTAAGACGTTACTGATTAAATCAGATCATACTGGGATTTTAGTCTGCGTTTTGATAAATCGCCACCAGAATAGATCTCTAGTTAAAGTAAAAATGAGTTAATGTGACTGACAGACGTGCTCAACTCCAAGCCTCACCTGTTGGAATGCTGAATACGCCGTGGGGCTGCTGGAACTGGGGTGGGGCAGGGGATTCCGAAGGGCATTCTGGGACTGCTGGGAGATTCCCTGTTTGACTGTAACGTTGGAGACGTTTCCAGCACGTCTCTGATTTTGGACATTAATCGGGTGAGGAGGCTGCTTTAGAAAAAAAAAAAAGAGAAATCACTTGACTTGGTGCCGAGAATCATGTACTGCTTGATGCCGACTTATTCTGGTCTATTTGAGCTAAATGGCTAGCACTTTATTTAGTAAGGAAACAAGATCTAAATTGCCTTGTTGTTAACGTACCCTTTGGTACAATGAAGGACTGTTCATTTACTGTATGTCTGTAACATATTTAAGATTTTTTTTTAATTACAAATAACCTAGGAAAAACAGGCATTTCAAGTGTTAAGTCATCAACAGAAGTTCCACAGACTTTGGAACACAGTTCAGCTCGCCAAGTGACTCAGAGACTGAATGGGCTTATGCCTGCCTTGTCATTCTTGCAGATATCCGTGAAGTGCAAATTTCAGAGGAATGTGTGTACGGCCTTTATATCTCCTGTACTAGTAAAAACAAAGACAAATCTGAAAACCTTCTCTTTGTGGCTCTGTATACTACAAACTCCTGTTGTTTGAACACATCTGGGGGCCATGTAGTCTTCTTAAATGATGATGATTCTATAACTGTAACTTCAACGCAAGGTATTCACCACTTTGGAAACGTCAAAATAGACGAGCAAACCTAACACATAGAGGAAAAACCTCTAGTAAAACATTACTGTCAGTATATGGAATCAGATGAATAATAGTTCAAGCAAGGGTTTTTGGAGTTACAGATTCTTATTATAAGCCCAGTGCCAGGCACTGTATAGTGGTAGTTTGTTCATTTAGTTGGACTGAGTTTCCATAAAGAACAAGTAAGTTCAAATGCACTTACTGTAAATACAAAGTTTTTGTGCTTCATTGGTTCACAATTATACAACAGCCTGCTGCATATGTTTTGTGCACACTGGAAGTCTTAACTGGTTACTTTCTATTAGGAATTAATTTTACATAAAAACATTCCTAGAGCACTTTCAACATATGCAGTTCTTCAAGAAAGATTGGAGCAAACAATGTTTCCTAAACAATTTTGGACAGAATTCTTGAACATCCTTTCAATCTTCTTACATTGTACTGGACTCATCCTATCAGTCTATGGAGCAAAATTTGAATTCGACACCTCAGACTAAACAATATCTTACAGCTGACAACACTGGGGAGGGGTGGCGACAATGAAACAGTTGTTTTCTTGGTCCTTTGGGTCAGTTAGCATTTCTTCTCCCAAGTCGCAATATAAACAGCTGGCCATTAAGGTCTGAAACATTACATTAATTTTCTTCATGGTATGTAAACAGCATGCAGTATGTCATTGCTTCTTAGTTGTAAAGCCTTTTTTTAAAGGGAAGAAAAGCCTGTTAGGAATTCAGTGCTGACTGTAGACCAAAGACTCCAGAGTTTATTGGAATACAGTCCAATAGGAGACTGTAAAAGCTCAAACACCTCAAAACAAGTCTCCTGGTTACATTATTTCCTGTCTGGGGAAAGCAGAGTTAAAAACACTCCCTTATCAAAGGACAACTCTGTCCTGTCTTTATTTATCTACTTATTATTATTATTCCTGCCCTTGAGAGCCATAGGGGTTGGACATTTTATTTTTTCCTATTACTTCAGCATTGAAACAAATGTCTTATTCATTTCCTCAGTCCTGGGGGTCTCCAAGTTCTTAACTTGTAAGACATCATTTATAAACCCCTTGATACTGTGGCTGTGCATGCCCCAGTATACTTGCATTCCTCAATTTTGCAGCACTAATATCAAGCTACAGGCACAAGGAGGGATATATCCTGGATGAGATGCCAGTCCATTGCAGGACACACACACAAACACATACACACAACCAAGAAGCCAAATAACGTACCCGCATGTCTCTGGACTGTGGGGAGGGGGGAATCAGTGCACCAGGAGGAGACCCACGCAAACACAGGGATAACATGCCAACGCCATGCAGACAGCACCCAAGGTCCAGAATTGAACCCAGGGCCCCAGGGGGGTGAGACAGCAATGTTAACCACTGTGTCAGCATGCCACTCAGTTAGCTTCATTTGCATTTCAAATTACATGCCATTTGTATCTCCAATACAAGCCCTACCAATATTTGCTTAAAGTAAAACACTACTTTAAAACTTTTGACAACAAATGTGATGATATATGGTAAAATTTCAAGTTAAGCTTTTCATTTTGATTGGTTTTATGTGTCCACTGATTGCATAACTGAGCGAGCAGGTAACAGATAAAATACACATTATCAACAAGCACAGTCACGGCCAGTTACTTTACACTAAGGGCTTTTTCTGCAGTTATGAATGTCACTCTTTATCTAGCAGATTGTACTTTAGGAGAGAACTGAAGAGCAGCTGAACAAGGTGAATATATGCATGAACCCTGTCTGGCTCAGTTCAAAACTGTAAAAATTATTACAAATATATTACACCTACAGTCTGAATACAGTCAAAAGTTCAAGCTATCACCATAAACATATTTCCTTTCTCAACTTCAATCTTTTCTCTTAAATAAACTGGAGTGGATAAGTTTTCCCCAATACAGATAGAAGATAAAACTTGGCAAAAATGCTACATCTAGATCAAGTGCTAGTGGCCTCTTCAAAGAAGAAGAACACTTTGTGTATTTCTATGACATAACATCAGCAAACCACGAACAGCAGATGTATGTGCTTGAAGAGATTCCACTTATAACACTGTCATTTGTTATGACTGTGCAAAAGGGTCACTGCAATCGTAAACTCCAGGGGCTCGTGAATTAACAGAACTGGAAAACAAGAATTGGAACTGAAAACATATCTTCGGATTGATGTTCTTTTCTGCTCATGTCCCATGGTTATGGCAATTCATCTACTGTATAGTATAGACTGGGGAATATCTAGTATATCTAATAGCGTTTTAGAGAGGAACAAATTCTGTTCATAACAAGAAATGCCTGAGCACATGAGATAAGTTAGATATTGCCGATTCAATTGCGACTACTGAGGAGAATGTACACCTATCCAGCCCATTTTTTTAGGTTTCCAATCGTAATTACTTTCCACAATGTATGAGCGTCTGTTTTTCACTTGGAGATAGAGTGTTACAATGTGTACAAAAAGGTTGATTCTTATTTATTCTAGAGTTGATTTCAGTCACAAAATGTGTCACTTGGGAAAAGGTGCTGTAGACCGTCTAGCAGGCACTGTATATTTTAAGTCCTGCTTGTGTCTAATATGTCTTAAGTTTTTGCACGGCTGCACAGGCTGAAAAGCAGTTATGCCCAAATCATAAGATACAAAAAAGACTAAAACAAAAGTACTTGCATGCAAGGTGTTCAAATACTATAATATGGAGGAACAGGACAGAAACCGTGGAGCATTTAAGACATTAAAAAAAATCTCAAATAACTTGCAATACTATCCATACTAACACCCCATTTTGCATTTAAGCCACTTTAAAAAAAATATATAACAGCAACAAATTAGTAGGGAGGATATAATTTCACATAGAGAGGTGAAAGCTTGGAGGGCAAATAGATTGTGGTGTAATTAGTCTTGGATCTTGGATCTGTCGACCTTTAAGAAAAACACTGGGCTTGAGTGATGTCTTCCTAATCTAATGCCTGCGATCTGTGATCTATGATATCTGTAGATCTTTGTGGCCTAAAAAGGGAAAAGTAATTGCAGAAACAACTCACATGGGTGAGGAATCCAGGGTTCTGTGGGTTTGAAGTCGGGCTTGGAGGAACCAGACCTTGAGCGCCAAATCTTGGGCCCTGCTGGGACCCCACAGACGGGCTTTGAACTCGGGACCCCTGGACGCCCCCTTGAGGCTTGAGCACAGGGGGCTCGTGGATGTGCCACACCCAGCCTCTGGGCTGGCGCTGTCGGCCAGGGCGGTAAGACAAGCGCTCCACCTGCTTCTGGAGCTGAGCCAGGGTGTTTGGGGGCACGGCCGGGGCCGGCTGGGAGGAGGAGACGGAGGGGAAGCCGGGCGGAGACGCTCCTGGTTTCTGGGCAGCGGCATTCAGCGCGGCCTGGGCGTTCTGGAAGTTGCTCTGCTGCACGGCGGGGTCCGAATCGATCATGAGAGTTCCTGTGGGGGACCAGAAAGAAAACACCCGACTGGAGCCTCAGCACGCAGCATGTGCTTCTAGCCATGCCCTTTCAAAACCGCTTCTTGCGGTTCGGTGTGTCGGGGGAAAGGGGGGCCCTATCCCAGCAAGCCACGGGCGTAAGGCTGGGTACAAACCAGATGGGATGCCAACCCATCACAGGGCACACTCTCACAGCCGGGTCAGTTTTCCCAGAAGCCAATTAACGTACAAGTCTGTCTTTAGACTGTGGGATGAAACCAGAGCACCCGGAGGAAACCCACACGAACAGGAGAGAACATGCAAACTCCACACAGACAGCACCCCATGTCCGGAATTGAACCCAGGGCCCCTCGTGCTGCAAGGCAGTAATACTGACTACTCTGCCAGCATGACGACCACTGCATATACAGCACTTTTCTAATTAAAATAGTGGATAATGGCAAGATTTTTGTCCAAGCAATGCTATCAACTGAATATTGTAGGAGGCATTTGAATGAATGAAAACATACACAGAAAGAATGAACTGATACAAAGCAGAGTGACAGGCATGAATAACAACTGCCTCTAATAATACTTGTGTATCTGTTTCTGGACTTGCTTTGTGCACATTTATGTTAATACTTCAACGCCACAACTTGTTTCATTCAGCAAGGAGTTCCTTTATCCAAATTCAAAAGTGAAGAGATCCTTTTGATTTTTATCTGGGTTCAGTATTAAGAGGCTGACATTGTAGTGAATGTTTGTGGGAACTATTTTAAAAGTTTTCCAAAAGTCTCCGGATGATCCGATATAGTCAGATTCCAAACAGTTTAAGTGGAGTTAAACTTCCAAGGATATTTACTAATGCAGTATATATGTACACATTTAAAAGCGTATAACAGGTATATTGCTACCAGAAGTGAAATGTAAACTTTATAACAAGATCTTTAAGATTTATTTGAAAGCTATTCATATTTACTGATACAATGTATATTTAAAGTTATTTTGAATCTTACCAAAATCAATATTTCTAGCCCAAGCAGCAAGACCGGACTGGAATCGGACAGAATTTTGGGGTATAAATGTCATCTCGCATTTGGCCCGCAGAAGGTTTTGGATTTGAAACAAAATCTGAAACAAAAGGAAAAACAACAAATGAATAGGTAGAACCTATGTGCTTTGTTAAGTATTCCTAAACCTATAAATGTGTCCTCCAAGGTACATTCATTCCTCCAATAGTTCCCAAGAATATAGTAGCAAATATTTGTGTACTTTAAGAAGCACTTAAAAAGCTGCTTTCTATAATTGTAGCTGTAGAATATGACTTTTAATAAATATAATTAATTTCAGGTTATTCTCAAAGTCCAGTTTTTCAAGGTTAAATACAAATACTTTTTGTACTTTTTGAGCTCTGTAGCCTATTACCAACTGGAGAAATTAGTTACATTAAGTTTCCTAATATGACTATTCTTGCGAAAAGTTGATAACGATACACACTCAGCCACAAGAAATATAATTTAAAAAGTCTCAGGAGTCAAGAATGAGAAGTTTCAAAGAAATATGGATTTATAAATTAAAACTGTTCATTAAGTTTCATGCTCTAATTGGTAAATTATAAAACTAAATCTAGGTTCTTGAACTAGAAAAATTTGAGATGACAGGAACAACTTTATGTCCCAAATATGTGTGAGTACAGTATAAAACCTAGTCAGATTACTATCAACAAAATACATCAACAGATTTAAACAATATTGATACGTATGCAATACATCTTGAATACAGATCAACTTACAATGTACATGAAGTTTACATTAAGTGTAAGTACAAAGAAAACTAGTTAAATTCCAAAAGCAAAGTGTATAAATATGAAGTACTAAAATGATGTCAACAGATACTAAAAGAACAGATGCAAAGTGGCGATATGGACAATAAAGTTCCATGAGAAAATTAATGCAATTAGTAAATTACACGAAGTGTTTGAGAATCAGGATTAATGCAAAATAGTGTAAATGTTAATGAAAGCTGTAGATGAGAGCCAATTGGTCACCGGTCTTCAGAGGTGCTGAAAGGCGGTTAGGAACCAAGCATTTCTATGGGGAGGTTTATCCACAACTGTAAAGAAAGGGTGGAGAATGCACAGGCTGGCAGAGTGGGGGAAAAGGAGATGGTGGAGAGAAACACCTAGCAGCAGAGGAGGAGTGGAGAATGTGATTGAGGGTCCAGGGTGGAGATGGGCAGGAGGAAAGAGTTTAACACAGCAGGGAAAAATGAAGGGTTTCGCATCGCGCTGTGGCAGAGGGTGGCGGTGTAGCATGGGGAAAGTTGGGAAGAAATAGGACGAATCCAGAATTCTGCATCTGGCCGAGCTTGAATCGGACAAGGACACTTGCAGGGAGGTCAGCCAGAAGATACCTCCAATCTTCTAGACAGGAGAGAACCGTGGCCTGGACTAGAGTAGCTGGCAATGAAGGGGCAAGATTCTGTACATCTTGCTCGAGAAACGATCCAGGGGAAGACGCATGGTGGGATAAGGAAGGGCCGGGAGTGAGTCAGTGGTTATTCCCAGAGGAGGAACGGGAGAAAGGATGGAAGAAGAACCGAGACAGCTTCAAAGAGGCAGGAGGGAAAGGCAAAGGGACGAACTACGAGTGTAGTTCAACATGATGAAATGGCATCCAAGAAGACAGACTCTTGGAAGCAGAGGTATGGAAGGAGACATGAGCATCAGAGAGAGGAAAAGAGGGAGATTTGAGCACCACCAGCATAAAGACGATACAGGAAGCTGTGGGAAGTCATTGGATGACCCACAGATGAGTTTTAAAGAAAAGTAAAGGGACATAGCCTAGTGTGAAGGAGACCGATCAACGCTAGGAATCGCACTTTGTACAATCAGCAAAAAGGAAGGACAGAAACAGATCAGTGGGTGTCGAAAGGAATATCCAATGATCTGCAGTGTGAAAAGAAGCAGCAGAGAGATCAAAAAGAATTAAGAGAGGGGAGGGAGGCCGCATGAGCTGTCGGTACCAGTGACATTCATTTTGAGTGAAGGCAGGTGGACCACAGCACTCACATTTTGCGCCTGCTGCGGGTCGTGGATAGAAAAAAAAAGAGGAGAACTAGTAAGAAATGAAAAGGGCAGAGTAAAAGTATATCGGCCACTGGTGGGGAAAACAGTCAAAAGCAAGACTGATGGCTTACTTGCCTGCACAAAGAGATCCCGACTATTTCACTGAACAAGTTGAGTCATGCAAGGAAAGAAACAATGACACCAGTGGCGATTAGAATTGAAAAGATAAAAAAAGAATCATTTTAGGTTACTCACAGATTAGGAAGGCTGAACAATAGAAGCACTGTACCAAAAGTAAAAAACAAAATGGCTGTCATATCTAAAGTCTGGAAGCTTCTCTTTAGCAGAAGGTATCAGTAGACTGAGTGCTTCTTACCAGTCGTTTGCTGTACAGAAGGGCAGTGCTGCTGTTATTAGATGCCACCCACTTTGTAAAGTTCATGACGTATTCCAGCTGTTTGGACAGCAAGTTTATGTCTTCTTGCTGCTTGTTCAGGACGGCCTCTTGATCCTTCCTCATAGCCTGGAAAGAAAGAGTTCCAACCGTGGTAAAAAACTGGAACATACAAGAATATCTAACGCCTAAAGAACAGAGATTAATTTCCAAAGTTAAAACAATACATCAACCTCTATGGCTAATTTGGACGATGTGAATTCTTTAACGCCACGGGAATTTTCTAGTTCTAACCAAGGGATTTTAAACATTTTCTGGCTTTTCGTGCAAGCCTGCTTTCTCAGCACTAAGGCATGTAGTCAATTTCCTCCATGGTAAACACTGAGTGAAATATTAATTTATCATTCATTTTCCTTCCACCATGTAAACGTTTCACATTTTTACCTCTGAGACACTACATTCTTTAGATTGCTGTTGTAATAATGAAAAATCCTCTTCGTTTTCAACACTTCCTTCTTTCGGATCCTTCCCTCAGCATTTCCATTATATATTTACCCCTGCTTACAAGTCATTACTTTTACTGGATCCTGTTCTTTTGCAATCCCTGCGCAAAGAATGTTCCTTCTATTATATTTGAATCGATTTATTAAAACATTTGCGTCTCCTAGCAGAGCTTCTAGCTTTGCATTCCCTAGGAATGTGTTTGTTCAGTCTTTCAAGTAGGATACCTAAGAGAGGTTCCTAAGGGGTCCATCTATCTTATTAGATATCCAAGATCCAAGGATCTCACCCAGCTGTTTCTTATAATCTTCACATTTATATAGCACTTTTCTGGATACCCCACTCAAAGTGCTTTAGAGGCAATGAGGACTCCCCTCCTCCACCAATGTGAGCTCCCACCTGGATAATGTGAAAAATGCACCAATTTGCTCAGCCATCAGTAGGGAAGAGAAAACAGTAATGAAGCCAATTCATAGATGGGGATTATTATGAGGCCATGATTGATAAAGGCCAGGGGCCAATTTGGCCAGGACACAGGAGTTGACACCCCTATGCTTTTTGGAAAAGTGACCTTGAATTTTTAGTGACCATGGAGAGTTAGGTCCTTGGTTTTACATCTCATCCAAAGGATGGCACCTTTTTTACAGCATAGTGTTCCCATCACTGAACTAAGGCATTAGGACCCACATAGACTGCTGGGAGAGTGCCCTCTACTGGTCCCACTAACACCTCTTCCAGCAGCAACCTTAGCTTTCCCAGGAGGTCCTAGCCAGGCTCACACCTGCTTAGGTAAACCCTGCCTTTCGTGAGTTGCAGGGAGATACAGCTGAAAGAAGTATAAGAGCATCAGCTTCAACAACCTCGCTATGTTGCTTGTTCCATACTTCCATAACCCTTGAAACTGGGGATGCCAAACAGCTCTTTAGATAAGATAAGATCACTTTATTGGCCATACACAATTTATTGTATTAGGAATTTGTATTACACACAAACATTTCTTGGTCTGCAAAGGTAATTTGTTCCTCAAAGACGTTCATAATGCTAAATTCTACCATTTTGGTGGGAGCCATTAACAAAAAAGGTCGCAATGCCAACCCTTGCATCCACAAATAAATTCAAACTCACCTCGAGCTGATTAATCAAAGCCTTGCCCCTTTTCTTAATTTCCACAAACAAAGCATAGATGGACATGTTTATCTCGTATTTAACTGCTTTATGGTTCTCATCCACTTGCTGGAGTCTGGGGAAAAAAATACATATGGCATATGGAATACTCAGTAAGACTAAGTAACTCGCTAACAAATGTGTAAGACAGCACAGAGCAGCATCGTGTAACCGCAATAAAAATGAAAGTTTAAAAGTTAGATTTTGTGGTTTAGCTCTTAAAAAAAAAGCTAGACATTGAGGACTAAATAAATGCGTATTTATAAAAGCACACTCTCATTAAAAGAAAACACTGATCACCTCATGAGATGTCGTCATTCACCATGACAACATTCAAATTTGAAACCATGAGCAGAAAAACGGGAAACTTGTTTTCATAGAATGTTTTGGAATTGGTTCATAAAACCACACCTAAAAAACACAGTTTTCCACCGTTTTGACAAGTATCATACTACTGTATTCAGGGTATTTTATCAGACAAAAACTACGGTGAGGTAAGTCTAGTTCTGCAAAAGGTTGCAATTTGCAACCAAAAATCATTTCTTCCTGTCACAGGTGTCTTGTTGGAAGACAAAAAAAAAACACAGTCCACTTGAAAGCTATCCTAAAAGAATTTCTACACATTTCTACTTTTATCAGGAACTGGTCAGGACAAAGGCTCTTGATCTGTGGCATTACCTGCTCTTTATGACATCCGATACTGCCTCCACTGCCTTCTTTTTCTCCTGTAACTGCATCGTCATCGTCTCAAGACACTCCTTGTGATTTTTGTAAGCATCTTCCAGAAACTGGTACCTGAGGAGAGAAGCCAAATGGCAGACAATGCAAGGATTAGCATTCTTGGTCCTGTCAGGAGTTTCAATCTAAGATTTTGCTAAATGGATACCAAGTCTGATAAATCCACCAGACTGGATTGTTCAAGTATATTATGTTGTTTATGTCCAAATATTTCATGTGTTTCCCTGTGTGCGGTTGAAGTCTGACAGCGAGCCTGTTCGTGCATTGAGCTCGCAGTTGAGCAGCTCATTTCTCTGGCCCTGAAATTAACAGATCTCCATGTGGAGGTTGTAGAGAATTCTCTCGCTGTAGAAAGGTGACTTTACGGGGGAGTGTAGAATGCACAGAGGAAAGAGATCACTTTATTGGCCATATACAATCTCTTGTATGAGGTTTTTGTCTTTTCACATACCCCAGCTTGTTCTCCATGAGACACACAGACAGGGAGAGAAGCTTGGGGTCAAAGTGCAGAGACAGCCATTTATACTGCACCTCTGGAGCAACTGGGGTTAAGGGTCTTGCTCAGGGGCCCAACGGAATAGGATTCCTCTGCCGGCCGCAGGATTTGAACCGACAACCTTCCAGCTACAGGCGCAGATCCTTAGCCACAGTGCCACTGCTCCGGAAAAGATCACGTCCTATACAAATGGGTTTCTATTCTGATCTCAGACAAATCACACATGCGACTCTCCTCTCTTCTCAGGCTGTATGGACCTGTTGAACCACACAATGATCCCCCCAGAATCTCCCCAGAGAACGTTTTTTCTAACTACGATCTCCTTGTAGCCTGGGGAACAGCGAGTGGCAGTGTCGACCTGACACCATTTCCCTTGGTTAATGATGTCTACTCCCATTATATTAATGAACTTGGGAGCTGTGCTCTTCAGCCCAAATGCAGAGGAACCCAGGCCCTGTATGTTCCAAATTCCGCCAATTGAGATCAATCTCATTCTGCGCGTTGAAACTTTTATGATTATTGCTTTCTGGGCTAAGATCAAATCAGTGCAAGGTATCTGCACCATCACAAAAATGCATTCAAATTAAGAACCCGTCTTTTGCTGTACAAATTGGGAGATTTAGCTATCTGTGTTGCTAAAGCTCAGGAGGTGGCAAATTCCTTCCTGCTCTACTGAGTGCTCATGCTTTCTAAACCCCTCCACGATTAACACAAACTTCTTAATCAATGCAGCACAAACCCTGGATGAGCCTGTAATGATGCTCTGCTGTCCCGCCTATCTCACTGACAGACACAGCCAGGACAGATAAGGGAGGATCACTACAGTATCACGAATGGCTCTTCTCTATAGGCACACATGCAAGAGCATATTCGGGTGACGTACAAACTTGCAGAAACAAACACTTGAGTGCATATATTTTGGATGTTAGTATATATTCTGAATGCAGCTATTACACCATTTAAAAATATACCATTTTGGTCACGGACACGTTATAGAAAAGATATTGCAGCCCTTGAATCAGTCAGTTGTGGGAGAGATGCTACCCAACCATGTTGCTGAAGCCAGCACTCTGACCTCTTCAAGAAACAGCTGGATGAGACATGTGTAACCATTCTTATGTTATTATACATTACAAATGCAGATGTATAATTCCCGATTAGTAGACAAAATAATCCAAAAACCACACACAGGGTGTTTCCAATCGTTCTTGATTTGTGACATTATATGGATTTTGTTTTTCCTGACACTACGGATGACCTCCCTCGTACTCAAGGGTTAGACTGTTTTCAGATTCCCATACATAAGCCAAAATCAGGCAATGACTTATAAGAAGTTTACAATTTTAATTGAACTTTTCTTGTCCACCCAAATCTTGAATTGCATAAAAACATGTACATAAGAGCATGCACAATTTAGTTTGTGTACATTATATACTCAGGATTTTGCAGTAAATGAGCAGGTATGTTATTCAGATCATCCAAAACGTTAGCTGACTTTTTGATCTGACTTAAGCTGGTATCATTGGTGATGAACGCTTGAAATTACCTCTCCACTATACGTTGTAAAAGTCCAGATTTCTTCTTTTAACTATATTTCTTCTCCAGTGAACATAATGCAAAAAATCCCAGAAGAGCTGTAGCATGATGGATAGTATAATCAGTGCCTACAGTGTACTTGAAAAACCACAGTATGCAAGACAAGGTCTCCTCTAATTTGGACCAGATCAAATTACCACCAAACCATGAATGTTATCCTAGTTTCAAAAGTCCAGACAGGGATTCTCTGCTCTCCCTCTGTTACAAAATTAAAAACTTCAAAGCCACATCTGACGTAAACTGTATTTTAAGCAGTACAAACTATATTTTTTATAACTATGTTTTTCGTTTTTCCATTTTCTTCAGCGATTTCTAGCCAAACACAACTGAAGACAACACAACAGAGAAGACTTGCCATTACTAAGTGCTCTAGCAAATCCACTTATAATTGGGGAAAAAAGTATCTGGTTTATCAAATAGTTAAAAATAAAATGTCATTTTACAAGAATAGCACATGTACTGTGTTTTATTGTGCTTTCTAGAAAACAGTAAACAGGAGGCTATTTGTTTCAGTTTCAGCAGGGGGAGCTCCAGGACTGTGCAACAACCCCTCTAATTTCATGAATGGTGTGTATGAAGAAGTATTAGGTTTTCCCCATCAAACACACAACAGTACTGTTCATAACAATGTAGCCTAGTTGCATCTGATATGTCTAGATCAGGACCACACAGTGGTGCAGTGGTTAGTGCTAGTGTATAAAAATCTTAACAGTTCACTAATCTGACCGTTCATGAACCTTCAAGTACCATTTACATTTAGGACCCAATTCTCCCGTTTTCTTCTGAACTGTAGTACACAACTATAGAAAATATCACAAACCAAAAACAGATAGTTTTTAGACTACCAAAGAACTTTCACTTCATGCTACTTTTACTGAGAGTAATGATATTTTTCTAGAAATACTAAGGCTATAATAATGTGGTCTAATATCAAATCGTGGACGGTTTCTTCTACTGACCTCATGCCTCTCCAGTCTTATTCACCTTCCCAGAAGAAAGAGAAATGCTAAGCCCTTTGCATGTTGCTCAATCCAACTACATATCCCTAAAAAACATCAATATAAAACCCCTATGAAGACAGTAAACCTTTGTCTATGCCGTTAACCTTAACATCAATGCTACATCACAATTTTATCTCAGCTTGACTCTAAACCACCGGGAACATACAGTACTTGAGTCATTCTCAAAGGGAAATTTGCCCTTAATGTGGCAAGTACAGTAACTGCTAGGCTGAGAAGAGCACACTGACTCAGCCCTAAACCCCAGTGTGCAGAAGTTGTCAAAATGTGTTTTTCAGCAGAAATAAACATGTTTCTGCAACTTTGGTCACCCCCATGTAACTTATTGAGCAGGAACAGCACACTTTTCAAAACATGTTTTTCAGCCGAAATAAACATGTTTTTTCAAACTTTGGAATCTCAATGTCACTGCTAGGCTCAGAAGAGCACACTGACTCAGCTCTTAACCCCAGTGTGCAGAAGTTGTCAAAACGTGTTTTTCAGCAGAAATAAACATGTTTGGGCAACTTTGGTCACCCCATGTAACTTATGTGGCAGGAACAGCACAGTTTTCAAAACTTGTTTTTCAGCCGAAATAAACTTGTTTTTTCAAACGTTGGAATCCCAATGTCACTGCTAGGCTCAGAAGAGCACACTGACTCAGCCCTTAACCCCAGTGTTCAGAAGTTGTCAAAACATGTTTTTCAGCAGCCACTTAACATTGTACCTTTTGAGGAATCGCAATCAAATATCTGTATTTTTGTCTGTTAATAATAATAATGCTTTTCTGGACACTCCGCTCAAAGCGCTTTACAGGTAATGGGGACTCCCCTCCAACACCACCAGTGTGTAGCCCCCACCTGGATGCTACGACGGCAGCCATAGTGCACCTGTAGGCTCACCACACACCAGCTATCAGTGGGGAGGAGAGCAGAGTGATGCAGCCAGTTCAGAGATGGGGATTATTAGGAGGCCATGACTGGTAAAATCTAGAGGGGGGAATTTCTTCCAAGACACCTGGGTTAATCAGGGTTAACTCCTGATTCAATAAACGCCCTGGGATTTTTTACCGTACAGTTAATGCATGGAAAAGGGCAGCTTCATTGCAATATCATCTTCCATATAACAAAAGTCTCTGTTGGGGTTTAGACAAATGCAAAGCCCAGAACCATTGTTGAGATACTTAATTATTTGCTGGTGGATTATAACTGAATCACTTTCATTTTTCATCTTAGGTACCTTTTAACACTCTCAGTAATGGATCACAGGGACATTTATCCATGTCTAGTGCACAGTTAAGCACAGGTTTTAGGAGATAGGAATGATAACCAGTCTGTTCCCTCAGAACTGAAGTGGGACATGTATATATCTCACTTATCTAGCATCAAGTATTACCACTTAAGAACATTGTGAGAGGTGTTGATGGGGTCTGTTAATTTAGCCTCAAACAAAAGTTACACTAAGATGCACTAAAGCTGACTTGCTTTAGCAGCCCCAGTGGCTTAACGCTACATAGTAAATGACAGGAACAACACCCACAAACAGGATATACCAGACCAATGTCTGCTGCATATCAAAGGACAGAACCTAGAGCAAAACAGAGTAGGACAAGAGTTAATTACATATCAAAGAACAGGACAAGCACTCAGATTGTGAAACAAACTTTCTCCTGACTGTATATAAGAGCTGGGAAACCCTTGCAGGATGGTCAGATCCAACATGCGTTGATGTCATCATTGAGCTCAATAAAACAACTGAATCCACGCAAGACTGGGTCCTGCTCCTTTGATGAAGGATTTCCCACAACAGAACTAACTCTGAAGCTCATGTCTAGGACTTTTGTTTTATACACCACTGCATGCAGCGATAAACCTTCCTGCGTTACTGTAAAAAGAATTGAACATCACGTTAGGGGAAAAGGACATACATGTAATAGATATATTTATTCACAAGACATCCACCTGCTCAGAGCCGTCATGCATTCTTTGAGAGCTAAATAAGTCAGCTAAATAAAAGCCTTCAACCCACAATGGGTGGGGTAACTTTTTAAAACAAAGAACGAATTCTAATGGAATTCCCATTTGGTAACCAGGAGTTGAACTATAAGACTTGGGTGTTTCAAATCTTGGTTACTCCCATCATGTCTGTGATTCTAATGGCTCATTTAGTCAGACCATGGTAACAGCAGACTTAAGATTTCACTTATTAACTTACAGATCACATTAGATACTACAGCTTCAGTCTCTGTCCTTCACAATCATACCGGTGATTCAAAGGTATGGGGGCAACACAACTCAAAGTTAAGACTGAGGTTGTGTTCTTAAGTTCCCAAGAGCCATTTTTTTAGTGAAATGGTGACATCAGTAGTCTTGTTGTCAAAGACAAAATCAGACACCAAATGGAAATGAGAGACAAATATCAAAAATCCCTATTTACTCTTTGACACTCTGATTTTTAAAAAGTCACTCTCAGTAAGACCCCCCCCCCCATTTTTGCCAAAATTTTTGCTCATTCTAAATACAGCTACTGTTAACCATACGCTTCAAATGCAGAAATGGTGACATCAGTAGTCTTGTTGTCAAAGACAAAATCAGACACCAAATGGAAATGAGAGACCTGGGCATTACTGTTGACCCAATTGAAGTGCCATGTTAATAAAGTCATAAAGATACGACGTGCATAATATTGCTTAATTAAGGCCCCAGTGCAATCCACCACTGAAATATCAACTCAGATATATAAGGATTAAGCCATATATACCTTTATTTTAACAAAATTAAACCAATAAAGGCTAAATGGGCTTTGTTATGCCCAGAATGGCTCAATTTAAACCAACAAATATAATTCTATGTAAACTGCCCAGACTACTTTCAAATCTAGAATCCACTTTCAAGATTTTCCTGCTCACATAAACAGCACTAATAGTCTAGGCCCAATTTTTCTTATTAAGCTTTAATTAACGATAACGGCTTTTTAATGACAGGTAAATGAAATACTGTTGCACACTTTGATGTACTTAAGAGTTAGTTCCACTCAAAAGCACCACATCTGGCAAAACTCATTGCCCAAATCCATTAGCGACTGTCAACATGGTTGAAACGAGTGTTTTTAACCATGGTTTATATTAGTTACTGGTTTTGCAGATCCCATGTGCACTGCTGTATGGCTCTCCCAGGTTTTCATTGCTGCTTAACCTGGAGGTACAAGATGAATCCCGTACCAGTTGTTCCTGTATCACCATGGCTGAAATCCAGCAGACACACAGGATTATTGTGGTCGAGTCGGAGCTCTTCCACGCATTCTCCTGAAGCTCTCGTTTACATTCTTACAGGAAATACTGGTGTACGCTCGGAAAAGAGCCTGAATTCCCAGCGGCATTCCACTCCCTCACATTTATGGGATTTACTCTATCCCATTTCCGGGGCCGTTTTCTTTTTGCCCCCACTCGATTGATTCTGCCTTTGCCAGCCAAACGCACCGGCGCATCGCTGCATCAGGTAGTGACGGCGCCACAGACAAACTCAGCCAGGTCCACACTATCAATTTAAACCAAGACGTAAGAGACAGTGAAACTATTTTCTAGATGTTCCGCCAAAAAAAACAATATAATCCATTACATAAATAACAAATAAGAACTTTTAGAAGGCACTTACAAAAACACCCCCAAGCAACTGCACAAATTATTTGTAATGTAAGCCGTCAACGAGATTTATTTCTCTTATGTTCTTAGTGCTCTTTGTATCTTCTCATGGTATTTTCTCTTACGCTAGTAGCATAGCTGTTATGATCTTACCTGAAACAGGTATGCCATGAAGTTAAAAAAAAATCCATGTTCTTACACAAACCACACACTAAAAGCTGAAGCAAAAAATAAACCATAAAATTATGCCTTATTGTTTATGGATGCCGAATCTGATGCACTGCTCATCATACCCGAGATTAGTCCCACTAAAGAGGCTATATATACACATTTTATTTTACACTAATAGGGTTTTGAGCCTAAAAATCCCTATTTACTCTTTGACACTCTGATTTTTAAAAAGTCACTCTCAGTAAGACCCCCCCCCCCCATTTTTGCCAAAATTTTGCTCATTCTAAATACAGCTACTTTTAACCATACGCTTCAAATGCAGAAATGCTCACCAACATGTCTACCGCTGATTTTACCCAGTGCAATGTTAGTTGGAGGGGTTGGGGAATACAATATTTCTCTTTGTTTTGGGGGGGATACGTGGAAAGACTAAGGACCCCAAAGAATCCCTGGCTAAGAGCCACCATGCCAAACTAAGCAACAGTAGCAAAGGCCGGTCGGTGGAAGTCGGAGGACGGGACAGGCCGGTCGGTGGAAGTCGGAGGACGGGACAGGCC